CTCTGAGGGAACAATCAATAATCATAACATCACTTTTACTGCTGCTGCAGCTACAAACTTTCTATAAGACTGACCAGCAGATCGGACAGTGATCAAACAGTGATGAACATTGAACAGTCCATTAACTTATAATAATTAATACAACAACATGCTAACAATAACATTTTGTTGTTTTTGAAGAAGGTTAGATGAGAAGTGTTTTCCACATCATGGTCTGCATAAATGATCACACACCATAATAAAAGTGTAATCTACTGTTCTGGTGTCATACCGAGAGTCCTTCATGTAGGTCTTCTCCAGCGCGCCCAGATCTCCTCATCAGTGTAGTTATTAAAGGGATCTAGGTTGTACCTGTAGACGAACACATTCATTATCACAGTTGGTTAGTAAAAAAAGTGTGTAAACAGACATGCTGTGGGGAGTTGGTGGTCTGCTACAGTTACCTGACTGTGCCAATGAATAAGACAGGATCCTGGGATGATGGACAACTTGCTGCGCAGATCCTGCAGACCAATGTGCCATAATGTCCACTCCATCTATTCGGATGCTTCCTGCAGCTTCGTCCCACCAGCCTGAACAGAGCCACGCCTAAAGAGGACTTCCCTACAAACGCGCAAGCAGAGAGTATCCTGATCATCTAACCCTGATTGTTTAGAGAAGCAGAGTTTCCCTCAGAACGTACAGTCATGGTTAAAAAAATAACATTGTTATTTTAAAGATGCTGCTGTTACACAGTTGTCAAATTTGTCTTGTTATGGAACAAATTATGATCACTGCAGACTCACACTACTGGTGTAAGGCCTTACCAGAGCCTGTCCTTCCCACAATGCCCAGCTTCTCTCCAGCTTGGATGAAGAAATTGAGCCCATTCAGGACGATGGGTGTATTCTCTCTGTACCTCATCTTATAGTCCTGGAAGGTGATGGCTCCGCTCTTTGGCCAGTCCTCTGGGATCGGAGCCTCCTCTATGTGTCTGGGGGCCTCAGGCTTGCAACTCTGTACAGAATAAACATCGACTACTTTGAGGGAGGGAACTCTGAACTGCATGCAAAGGCTTTTACAACTGCACTTCTTGAGTGGAGTTTAATAGGCTCAAGAGGACCAGGAGAGATGGTGGGAGTTGTGTGTAAATGGTTATTATTTCTCTGGGGCATTCTGAGTCTGACCGTGACGTATTCCAGTATCCGCCTCCACTGAGTTGAACCTGCCTCCACCTCTGTCGACTGCCGCACGACATATTGAAGCATGCCTGTCAACTGGAAAACACACAGAGATTCTGTAAACACACACATTGCATTTACTTTCAACGTGTCTTGAGCCAAACATTTGTAAATTTGCTGTAGAAATGCACCTGTATGGTGTAGGACATGGCCAGGCCTTTCAAGGATGGACTGATGACGTCGTTACTGCTGAGCACCACGAACAGAGACACAAACAAGGTCATGGATGAAAGCCATGCAGTCCAGCCAGAAGGAAAGCCAACGCGTTCCCAGAGTGAAAGAGTAAAATAGTGGTTGGAGTTGATGTCATTCAGGGACTTGAACCTACAATATGACATTGGACAGGTCAGGGTTTGTGAACACCACCTTACCCCAACTATTAATAAGACAGTGTATACAACACAACCAGGACCAGATACTGTGACTAAGACATCACCTACTGCTGCTGCACCGCATGAATAAAAAGCAGGGAAGAATTGAAACGGCATTGAATTCTCAAAAAACCTGAAAGTTCAGCAAACAGAAAAAATAAACAAAATATTGTCATGTTGAGAAACTGAAGTATCTTACAGCTTTATGTGGCTGTCTCTTATGTTGTAGGCATGAATAGTGCTGAGCCCTGCAAGGTGGAGGTGGTGAGAGAGATGCAGGAGAGCGACTGATGTTCTCCATCCTCTTCATCTGACGGATGCTCCTCTGGAAGACACTGCAGAAGAAACACTAGTTTAATCTCAACTTTTCAGCCCACTGTGAAGACAGCAATTTCCATGACAATCTAAAACTTGTAATTTTCCTACAGTGCCTGTAGCAAAATTGTATCATGTTTAGACTAAACTCTATTAACTCACAAGAGGATGAGGGTGAACAAAGCTCCATAATGACCACAGCTACAACATGAGGGGGAAGACGGCAGAGATGATGACAATTGTAAAGGTGACCATTAGTGCAAACGCCAGGAAAGGGTCCATGTGGAGGGGAAGCACAGTGTCCAGCTCCTCTTGATCTTTCGCGAAGCGGTTGAGAATGCGACCTGCTGGCGTCGTGTCGAAGAAATTCATGGGACTGTCAATAATCTGCGGAGAGGAACAGAAGAAAAAATCGTCATCATCAGCACCTCATTGGTGGCTTCTAACAGGGCCTGAAAGACGTCCCCTTTTTTAAACGGCAAACACATTATTAGATGGTTAGATGGCAGACTTTCAATGAACACACATTCAATTAACTTGTTCACACTGTTATCTGCTATTAAAATGGTAAAGTTTGAATGTTTGATGGTACTGTACCTTCTTGAACATGTGTGTGGAGTTTTGCAGGAAAGCGTTCATGGTCATGTGAGTGTAGATAAAGCATTTGATGATGGCAAGTATCACCATGACGACCACCATCATGCCATAAATCAGTTGGTAGAAGTTCAGGTCTGGGTTTTGTGAGATGTCGCCTGGTGTGAAGTTGTGCTGTTGTGTGACTGGGCAAAACAGCAGATGTATGATGTTAGAGGAGATCAGGTCATAAAGAACTAATTAGTACTAAAAGTTATTTTAATTCCAAGAAGGACTTTTATGCTGTTGTGAACACAATATGGCACAAGTTTGGAAATAACACAGCTGTATTTATGTATAATGGTATAATGTAAATGTGTATAATGATAATGGCCAACTTCACTGCTTTAAGAGGATTCTGTAAAGGCAAGATTACAGTGAGAGGCAAATCTGGTTTTCTGACAGATCCTGATTGACTATGTTTATGTGTAGGTCCTTTGAGGGTGGATACTGTGTGAAATGAATCCAATAAAAAGAGTCAATATCAGTTTAGTACAAAAGGGAACAGACATGAGATGACAAGATGTTCTCTTCAGGTGGTTGCTATGAATAAAAATCACCTTCTAAACACGGTTACGGTCAGATGCCAGCTGTGTTATTTGAGAATTGCGTTCATGGGACAGAGGCAGACGAGTCTGTGTTAGGCCTGTAAACTGACTCCCTGCCTCCTCTGCAGGAATCACTGGGTTTACTCTGCATCATCACCACACACTAGTATCAAACGTGTGTTGAGCTGTGTAAATGTAAATAAATATAAGTGTGGATCTGTGTGTCTGTCATTACTGTTGTGCAGAACTCTAAAGGCAAACCCAGGCAGACAGTTGGTGTGGTTCAGCAGTAAACATGGCCAGTGAAGTTATGTGTTGAAAAAAAAGAATGTGCAGACACTTCATGTTGTGCAACCTGAGCAACCACTGCAGAAAAAGTGTGTTGCTGTTGGATTGTCAGTTTTGGAAAAGAGTGGGTAACACTGTTCCTCTGAAACCAGCATCACTACTCTCTGACCAGGGACAAAATTTACCTCACAAAATGCCTGATGGAGGCTTACTGCTTCCACTGTGGGAGGTCACAGTCCCTGAAAGCGCGTTCACTTTTCAACCAGGGCTGGTGAGCAGTTTTTGTGTGTGCATGTGAAAACAAAGAGAGAGAGAGATGGTTCTCACCCCGTACCCTGCCCCAGCCAAAAGCTGAGCCACCAGTTGCTGAAGGCCGTGGATCCGATCATCAGGACATGCTGAGGACGGTGAGGGAGGTGATAATGTAGCCTGCAGCGACAAAGTGACACAGAATACTTCAGGCAGGTTGTGCATTGGTGATTCGTGCATTATTACATAGAATCATACATGTTTGTGTGTTATGTCAGACCTCCAGCTGCCTGGAAGTACTGCTGGTAAATTCTCCAGGAGACAGCGCCTTCTGTGGAGGCCTCCTGACTGAACCCGCTGATCATCAGCACTGACAGTGGCTGAAGAGGAAGAAAAGGATTTTAGAGAACGATTAAAGTCACTTTCATTTGCGATCAGCATGTGTCCTGACTAACTGGACTGTGTTCCTATAGAAAAAGAATAAAAAAAAAAACTAAATATGTAAGTGTACACAAGCTTCACTGAAGATCCAGTCACCCAAACATTTGTTACATTCACAACAGTGGAAATTCAGTGTGTCTCAAATTCACATAACTACAGAAGAATATAATTTTATATTTATATAGACACTAGCCATCTCTAGATTTTGAATCTGCTGCAGTATTTCTGCAGAGAGAAAGAAAGAAAGTGTTTATAGCTGTTCCCAGCAGTCCCACTCAAAGGCACAGTAAAAATCCAACCATCTTAAAAAGGGGCGAGACGTGATAATTGTTTGAATATGGGGACAGCAGCATGTGTTTTCTCTGCTGTGCTGGAAGTCATTAATGGTATGGCACATGTTTGCTGTAAACATGAAAAGTGACAGAAATAGTGTGTGCTAACGAAGTGTGAATGAAGTGTGAATTTCATATTGTTGGTTTTGGAAAGTTAAAGAAATTGTTGGACACATTTCCACAATTCCAGTGTTGGAGAGGTGGGGGGGGGGGGGGTGTTCAACCATCCAACAGGCTCTTCTGTTGAAGCAGACTGGCAGCTTCACATGTGCACGTTTCATCTTTTAGGCTTCCACATTAAAATGAAGCAACATGGGCCTGAGCTCCATGTGGAGACTCAATATATTACATCTGAACACCAATTACATTTTAATTTGCGCTGTGAACTTACATTTCTGGTCAGCAGGTGTCCCATCATCTTTTTCATCTGACATGTCAAATGCTGAAGTGAAGCACAGATGTCAGTCCGTTAGTCATAGACTCTCATAAAGGCATAAAAATGTCCCTAAAAATACAACACTGACAGTATATTGACCTTCAGGGTTGTAGGTTGTTTGCCCTGTCTGGTTTTGTTTTACACATTGACCTTTCTTCTGTCGTCCATTGTCCCTTTGTCACCTGAATGGACTCCTGTTACGACCTTTTCCTGCTTATGGTTAAATATTGGCTCTTTTGCCAGCCACTCGATGTGAATATGTGTTTCCAACAGAGAACATACAACACTTCCCTCTACATAATGAACTCCAACCTCATTTTCAGTTCTCTACTGATGAATTGAGGCATCACAAGGTATGTTTTTTTTTGGTCATTACACTAACAAATATTTTTTCCTCGTTTCCTTACCTGGGTTCACTATCCCACTGCTTGTGCGTTCTCTTGGCTCCACTTCCTTCAGCTGGGCAGCATCTTGGGGTGACGCCTTGTCCTCCTCTTTCTGAGTCTATAAAACAATAAGCAAAAACACAGCGATGCTGCTGAACTGATGCTAAAATGTTTCTGCATCCTATAAACCAGAAATCTCTCCATGCCTGAGTCACAACTTACAAATAATGTAGCAGCTATACTGAGAAAATCATCTGTGTCATAACTTTAAACAATAATGAACTGGGGAAAAGGTTTTACAGCTTGTAAAAGTTTTACAGCTTGTAAGAATAGCAGAGCTGCAGTACATGAGACTTTTGTACAGTAAGTTTTGTGACAATCTTACTTTGGACTGCTCCATCTCATAGTTTCTGATGAGCTGAGCGTAGCGTCCATTGGCTTTCATCAAGGCCTCGTGGTGTCCAGCCTCCCGCACCTCCCCATCATCCAGGAATAGGATGTCATCACAGAACTCCAAATACTAGAAAAACACAAGTGAAGAAAACTCAGCCCAGAATATACTATAAGTATAGAGGAGTTTGACTTTCTGACTGGATCGCCACTATTTCATATTCACTGTCTGCTAAAGTTTAGCAGTGTCTTTTCCTACCTGGAGCTGGTGTGTAACCAGTATGATGGATTTTCCCTGAAGCTCCTTCTTTATGCATTCTTCAAAGATATGTTTCCCCACATGGGCGTCAACAGCAGACAGTGGATCGTCGAGGAGGAAGATGTCTTTATTGGAGTAGACGGCTCTGGCCAGGCTGATCCTCTGCTTCTGCCCCCCTGACAGATTGAGCCCCCGCTCTCCAATCTGCCAGCAACACAGACAAAACTCCTAAAAAACCACTAAGACCACAGGCCACAGGGTCTGGCACGTCTCAAAATCCACCTTCACTAATTTACAACAGTGTACGATGAGTGAAGAC